AGGACTGAAGACATCGATCAGCACCCGGAATAGCCGCCTCTTGCCGGGGCACACAGTTGTAACAGCATGAGATCTGTGGGGGAGGAGGGAGGGAGGGAGGAGGAGGGAAAAGTGTTGTTGTGCCAATTGTGAGCCATTGAATATATATTTAAGGAAGCACGATGAAAAGAAATAATTACAGATAAATAAATAAATAAATATATATATTTCATGAGTCGTCTTTTTTCTTGCTGTTAGAAGTGGTGGTGGATTTGTGGATTCTGTCGTTGTTACTTTTGTTGTTGTTGTTTTAATTGTTCTCATTCACTCCCACTCTCTCTTCTTTCCTACACTCTTTGATTGTCATTGGGTCGATGTCATCTCGTTCAGGGCAGTGCCTTCATGCCCCTGTTTCGACACTCCGGCGGCTCCGGCGGATTCCCCACCGGCTTCCGGGCGCCAGCGATTGCCGGCATCGATTCGGCGGACACGGCCGCCGCCACCCTCTCATTGTTGCCGCTGCGGCGGAGAGAAAGGACGGTGATTTACCCCGACAGCAAAGGGATCACGCAGGCTGAAATCACAGTCGCTCGACTTGCAAAGAGGGCTCACATTGAGTACCACCAGCCGGTGCGAGAAAAAAAGGCCGCCCAAGGAGGGGATGCGGAGTGCGGCAACGAGGCAGAGGCCGCGGTTGACACCGGGTCCGCGCAGGAAAACACACATCCAGGAGGCGGAGACCCCGTCGTCGAGCAGAAGAAGCAACAACTCCCACAAGGACAGGACGCAGGTTGTGGTACGGCGCAAGAGGGAGGCGAGGAAGAGGAGGAAAAGAGCGAGGTTGTGTCGCGCTATCCAGTAAGCCCGTATGGAAAACTTTATTTTCAGGTGGAGACCGATGCAGCCACTCGACATGAGTCGACGGGCATTATTATCATTGAAACTGAGCAGTTGGGCGTGATGATGTATGATCGCGCCGGTCGACAGTTTGGCAACCGTCCAGATCCTGGGTATCCCATCAAAGAAGAGGATGTCAACAACGCCAAGGCGGGCATGACACTTAAGGTTGCCTCCAAGACCGTTCTGCTTATAACAGCACTGAAAGAGGAATCCTTCCGCAGTGGGGAATTTTTTCTTCGTTATGAGCACCAACTTCGAAAAAAGGAAGAAAAACAAAAAGAAAAGGCTGCGGCCGCAGCAGGCTTACACGTTATAAAGCCTAAAATGTCTTTTGGCCAAAGCCTTTCAGGGTGCATTTTTGCTCAGCCGGTATTTCGCAAACGGCCACGGGACGGCCAAACCGGATTTACCGTTCCTGTTGCAGGTCGACCAAAGACGGGACCAAGCGGTATCCGGGCCGAACTGAAGCCATTACACGATCCTGACCGTGAGGGTGCCGTCGTACTCTTTCGGGCAGACTATAAGCGGGACGCCAATGGCCGCCTACAGGTATCTGTTGTGGTGGATCCTGTCATTGGTGACAAGTTGCGGCCCCATCAGAGGGCGGGGGTGCGATTTCTTTTTGACTGCATCACAGGGGAGCGGATGCCTGGCTATCATGGCGCCATCCTCGCGGATGAAATGGGCCTTGGCAAAACTATTCAAACCGTCGCCACCATCTACACGTGCCTTCGTCAAGGAAAACATGGGGTGCCTACGGCCCGCAAGTGTCTTGTTGTCACCCCTTCTTCGCTTGTGAAAAACTGGTGTAACGAGTTTGATAAATGGCTGGGCGAAGGGGCAGTGAAGTACTTTTCTATATCCGAATCCACACCAAAGGGCGATCGCATTATCTCCCGCTTTGATGGAGAGGGCGACGTTCTTGTTATATCCTACGATCAGCTAAGGAAGTATATCGCCCGTATCTCCACTCTTAGGTCTGTGGAGCTGGTGGTGTGTGACGAAGGTCACCGGCTGAAGAACGCCGAGGTGAAGACGACAAAGGCGGTGGACATGTTGCCGACACGCAACCGCATCATTCTCAGTGGCACGCCGATTCAAAATGATCTTTCAGAGTTTCACGCCATGGTGGGATTTGTCAATCCCGGTATATTGGGCAGTCGTGATGTGTTTGCGCGTGTCTTTGAGGAGCCGGTGATGCAAGGACGAGACCCCGATTGCCCAGAGCACCTTCGTTCCCTCGGGTCGGATCGCGCCCATTATTTGTCAAACTTAACGCAGCGCTTTATTCTTCGCCGCACGCAGTCAATTAATGAATCGTACCTGCCTCCAAAGGTAGATGTGACAGTGTTTGTGCGACTTGGAGAACTACAAAGTGTCGCCTATGAAAAGTTGTCAGATCTTGTTGAAAGTTCCTCGTGCCCGCCTCTTGTGCTCATATCCGCCCTGCGAAAGTTGTGCAACCACATGGATCTCTTTTACGAGGCGGTGTTAAATTCCAGCAAGGAGGAGGTTAGGGAGGGACGTGGTTTACCAAAGTCTGTGCTTCCGAAAGGATATAAGTCAGGGACTCTTTCTGAGGCGGCTGGAGGAAAAATGCATTTTGTCTCTCTTATGTTGGATGAGTTGCGCAATAACGGAGACCGTGACAAACTTGTCATTGTTTCGAACTTCACTCAGACATTAGATGTCATTGCCAACATGTGCCGTCAAAAACGCATTAGTTTCTTTCAACTTGATGGCAGCATGCCAGTCAAACGCCGGCAGGAAGTGGTGGACCGCTTTAATGTCCCCGAATCGCAGGAGATTGTCTTTTTACTTTCTTCCAAGGCTGGCGGTGTTGGATTAAATCTCATTGGCGCAAACCGACTGATTTTATTTGACCCCGACTGGAACCCTGCGAATGACGCCCAAGCAATGGGACGTGTGTGGCGTGACGGACAGAAGAAACGGGTCTTTATTTACCGCTTACTTAGCGCCGGATCCATTGAGGAAAAGATATATCAACGTCAGGTAAGCAAACAGGGACTCTCGGCCAATGTTGTCGACATGAAGAGTGACTCCAAGCAACATTTCACGCTGGAGGAGCTGCGGTCCCTCTTTTGTTATCGTAAGGATACCCGTTCTGACACGCATGATCTCCTGCACTGCACCAACTGCGAGGCGGTGGTGAAACTGTTGGCATCATCCTCATCTGGAGCAGGGAAGGCCAAGGAGCTCTCAGCGCCAATGAAGTTTCGTCGCGTTGGTGAGAAGAAGAGC